GGGTGTTAACTCCTTCAGTCATGTTGTTGGGTTATGTTGTTTCACTATCATCATCAGTTGTTTTAGTTCTCCACCAGATGGCCCCAGAGAGCACAGATGACATGGCTGGCTGCAGCAGGTGTGTGAAGACACACCTGCAAATCATCTGCCCTCATCAGTGGAGCTTAAGAGGAATTCTGCTGCCACTGAAGTTACCACTGAAGTGTTAACTTTCAGTGGTAACTTCCAGCCCCTGAGTTCCTAGAGTTTTTTTTTTTTTGACTTTTTGATCACCTCTAGACTCCTAGATTCAATCAGTTCTCCTCCTCTTGTTTTAAGGTCTCCACTGGCTTGTCTGAACCTGCTCCACCCTCCACTGCGTTCTCTGGTTTCAAAACATCACAACAACCTGCTCTCATTCTTTTCCTGGATCCCCTCTGAACCCAACTGACCATTCATCTCCACTTCACCTCTCCCTGGCRGACTCTCATCATTTTTACAAAGCTCCAGTTCATTGGTGTTTTTCTCAAGTACCCAGATCACCGCCCCAAGTTTCCCACCACTCCAGATCATAAGATTTTCAATAAGTCTTTTAACACTTGCTTCCTGGTCTCAGAGTGTTTCTGCATGTGGGCCAAGCAAATACCCAATACCATGACACATTTAGATGCTGTAGATAACCCAGTAATAATGAAGAGGCGTCATTTGTAAAATTGAAACGGGTAATATTTTACAATATTTCGTAAACCAACTAAGAAGAAACACCGGAAAATAACAGTATCTTTATTTTTAGAGTCRCTAGTTGAGATAAGGTTTCAGGCGGTTAGCTTGCGCCTCTCAACTGTGGGTACCCACCGTCAGCCTGAAATACAACTTGTGTTTTTAGCTGAAGCGCTGCTCGAAGAACTTTTGTGTCTCCTCCGGTGAGTCGAAGGTAAACAGCTCATCTCCGTGTGTCATGCGTAGCCGGGCCGGGTACAGCATGTGGAAACTGAYGTTCTTCTGGTACAGAGCTTGCTTCACGCTGTTGAACGCAGCTCTCTTTTTAGCGAGCATTAYGCTGATGTCCTGGTAAATCCTCAGAGCTGCACCTTGGTACTTGATGTCGTGGCTTCTGGCCCAGTGAAAGTGCAGCCTCCTTCTGCTGGAACTTAGTGAAACAAACCAGGAACGTATGTGGTGAAGACCTTTGGCTGGATCTGAGAGTCAGGGTCCGGTGTGCTCTCTCCAAGTCGGGTGGCGTAGTAAAAACCTCCAGGCCAAAACACAACTATTAGCAGCTCCGAGATGAACTTAAGTGGATCTTTACCGTGCTCACTACCTTTGGGGATATTCAGGATACGTAGGTTGTTCCTCCTTGATCGGTTCTCGAGATCCGTCGACCCAGTCGAAAAGCGACTGGTTTTGGATTTGAAGCACTTTTTTGATGGAATCTGCTGCCGTCCTAAATGGGTGTCAGGGTCTTTATTCCCATCCCGTTCCCTGACTGCCATTTGGGGAGGGGGTCCTGAAGAAGGGCAG